ACTCTAGGTTCTCCAGTAGAGAGGTTAGAAAAAGGGCACCAACTTCATTTGTTTTCCCGGCCTCTATTGTAGGGGAATCCTCCCAACCAAAAAAGAAACGGTAAAAGGGCACAACTGGGGGAATAAGAACTCATTCTGCAGGGAGGATGGATTTATCCATGGCTTTTCTGCAGCCCATCCGTGACGTCCCAAGGCGCCTCCGCTGAAGCTGCTGCCGCCGAGGTTGCCTATCCTGACAAAAGCCAAAGGGAGGATGTTGCCGCCTTTGGAAGGGAAGCAGGACCATTGGCTTGCTGAGTTGGCTGGCCAAAAAACATTGACATGTTTGGACTTGAATGAGGGAACCTGCTTCCGATCAATGAGTCTCAGTCCTTTTCGTATCTGCTTAGGTCATTTCATAATCTGTGCTCGTTTCTATTGAATGGGCGTCGAGTGTACCGGAAATGCTTTAACCGCTCGGCCTGCCGGTTCCCCCTTGAAATCGCCCAGAGGAGTCCTAGATATCTTTGCACGCGATGGTACGATAACACCAGATTCTAGACCCCCCCGCAAACAAAGGATGCTTCATGATTCCAGCTCGTGTACGGGGTGAGCTTGCCGCAATTGTATGCCACAATGCCTCAAGAATCCTATGTACAATGTCAAGCGACCTCCCCTTTGCAAAACCGATAGGGGACTATCAAAACACAATACCGCGGTATTGTCCATTTCTCATGTGCGGAAGCGCCACAGAAAACGCTGCATGCCCCATTGACTCATGCGGACAGCCCGCCTGCTGCTAATGTCTTCGCTTGGCTCGCTGCCAAAGCCCTGCATCTTCTTGCCCTGGTTCGTGCTGAAGCCATAAGCGTTCAGCGAGGCGTTAGAACCTCAGCTTTGGCAAATGGAAGTTGTTAGCACCTTAGAAGGACACATAGAAGGACACAGAAGAACTTCCGATCCCGCCGCCATTTCTCTTGTGCCGAAAGTGCTGAAGACTGCCTTCACCGCCAGGTCCGCTTCCTCTCGAACCGCTTTGTTCGGAGCATCTCCTGGGACTCGCTTCCAACAGCTTTGGCGAGGCCGGCGCGTGTTTGAGGTCTTATTTTGGTGCCTTGGGGGCAAACCAAAAGGAAAACCACCAGCTGGGGGAGGGGGGGTCCCTGCAAAAGGCTAAAGACACACCAGTTTCCGGGTTGGCCCACTGGCAATTGTCCCCTGTGCGAACGCGGCATGGAGTTCTCGCTAATTGGCGTCTCCCGAGGTGTTAATGAACCTACGAAGGCAAGTGGGGTGTCTTATTTTGAAACTAGCCTTTGGGCTGAAATGAAACAGGCAAAGGGAAAGCCACATTGCGGTTTCCGCTTTTTGGAGACAAACCCAGGCACATTGGAGGGGAAGGACATTGGGTTGGTAGGATTTCATTTGACTCGTTTCAAGTGAAACGAGTCAGGAAAATAAACAAGTGAACTCGCTTGTCCCGAACCTTCGAGGGAAAAACGTTGGAACCTTGAGCACGTGAGTTGTTTGCTGAGCTCTGTTTGACTTCCCACACACCCGCAACACCTGCGACGGGGTCCTTTCAGTGGATCAGGAGTTCCGCGGTACTGCAGGCATGCCTTGACCACATCCGCCTGAACGGGTTTTTTGACCCAATTGGTCCAATGGTTTGGTACCCTACCCCAAACATATGTCTTCAGGATTTGGACCCAAAACAAGCAATGGCCAGGGGCTTCCATGGTGGCAACTGTAAAAATCTTTAAACAAATCAAGGAAGGACAACTCCAACCCAAAAACCGGCGACCAACCCCGGGTGCCCTCAAAACACGGTGACACACCCATCTCATCCCATCTCTCCCAGGTCCTTTCCTTCCGCCCGGGCAGGGAATTCGACCCCGGGAAAGCAAACCTGCCTTCCTCTGCACAGCTCGCTTGAATTCCGGCTTGCCCTGCTCGCAAACCTGAGACATGGTCCCAGGTCAATCAGAGCTCCGAGCTCAAGGCTCCGACGCCTTAAGGCAAATGCTTTTTGGCTCCGACCCCCAAGGCTCCTTGGCTCACTAGCAGGCTCGCCAACGTCTCAATGGAAGTAAAACAAAGATGAAACCAATCAACTCTTCGACTTGGAGAACGCGGGTGAGCGTCGTTAGGGGCACCCCTAGAAAATCCCTTTGTTGCAGACATCGGTTAAGCAGGGCCATGGATCCAAGTGAGCATCACTGTGAAAAAGATAGGCAGCAGGTCTTGGCAAAAAGGCTCCAGTGGGTTTTTCTCGTTTTGTGAGGGTATCTCTTGTTCGGTGGTCTTAAAGGGACACCAACAAACAAAACACATGCTTTGGCTTTTCCCCGGGGGGGGGGGGGATGGGCGCGGGGGTGGAGGGTCCCCTAAAGAAGACACACTCGAATGGACATGTTCAATTGAGTAACGCAGGGGTCGCCTTAAATCAACCAACTATTTGTTGGAGCCTTGACATATTGTACACGAACCTTCCATAAAATGCCTGGAGAATGGAGATAGACAGTCAAGCACGAAGCTGTGAACAAGCACAGCCTGGGAGGGGAAGGGTGTGAGGGGGGGGGGGGACTTTTTTTGACTCGGCCTCAGTGGGGACCCATGGGCCAAGTGGCATGCTTGATGATCTTCAGGCACTTGTGCTTCACGTAAGGATTATCCCTCTCGAGCCTTGGCGGCACTGGCTTGGGATCGACACACGTAGGAGAACGCAACTTACTCATGAGCCTTTCAGCTAAGGAGCTTCTTGAGAAGGTAGTCTGCCAACTGTTGGCAAGCGTTCAGGTCGGCAAAAGTCGACTGTGCGATCCTTGGTGTTTAGACGACAGCGCGTTTAGACGACACCGCTTGAGACCGTGCACGTGCTTTTGTCGCCCCAGAAGTGCATGTGGCGTCTTTGCACTTCTTGGTCAGCCCAAAGGCATCTTCTTCGTCTTTGTTTTCAAGCGAACTATTTGAGCCCCGCGTTCGGGAATTGAAGTTCCCGTGGCACATCTTGCTTGTAATTGCGTCGGGTAAGGCAAACGCACAAATCTTAAGCCGATTTGGTGGCAGCTGGGCATGTCACTGGGATCAAGAATCCGGTCATTGATGGGGCGCTGAGGCAAAGGGCCGGGACCCCGGCAGGCGATTCTCCCTTCCGAACGACCCCGGCGCATCGACGTCTCCGCACGTTGGACTGGCAATCCATACAAGGCAAAAATTGGCAACCTGGACCACCTGGGCCACTGCTTTACGTATCAATATTCGTCCCTTTTTTCAGTGGGGAAGGGCCCCCACGACTTGGATTCACCGGGAAAGAAAGAGCGGAAAAAGCCGATGCAAGTCAAGGCCAAAGAGAGCATGGCATGGCATCAGAAACCTTTTTTTTTGTGTTCTTTATAGGGGGGAAGTTGCGAAATGCCATCCAACGTCAAGCAACGGTATGAAACCCGCAGAATTCGCGCATGAGGCAGGCGTTGTCTAGACATGGTGTCCACGCAGCAGATTCACTTCAGCTACCTAAATGCGATGTGCCACGGCTCTACACAGCCTTAAGCCGAAAAAAGGGACGCACATGCGCAGAGCATCGCCAAACCAGGCAAGTGGCTCAGTGTACAAATAGCCGGGTGTAGGCGTATCGTCAGCACTCGTAGCTTTGTTCAGTGCAGACCTGTCCATGCTCCTGCACAACGTCTTTCGAGTCGAAACGGGTGCAGGGACAGTGTTTCGCCTGAACATGAAACTGCGCGAGTCGATGGTCATGGGGCCCATGGGCCGGGGTATTTGGCTGAAAGTTGATAGCTTCTCCACCATGCTTCCGTTCAACTAGCCTGCTTTGGGCCCAACCAACAGAAGCGGCCCAACCAATCAACAGGGTACTGGGCCCAGCTGCAACGATAACCCCCCCCATAGGGGCACACCAGGGACCCCAGCAGCTCAAAAGCTGGTCGGTACCACCATTACATTGCCATTATCAAAAAGAACTCGTGACATCTTTTGGGCCCCTCTTTCAGTTCGTGAATTGGCCGAGAGGCACCACCTTTGGCATGACGAATAAAAAGCTCATTGAGACCAAACTGGACGGAGGCCAATGAGTGCACATGTCAATTCTGGTGCTGGCTGCATCCCCAAACTTTGATGTCAGGGTCACTTCGAGCGAAATTATCCATGGACTTTGTTCTCTGAGAGGCTGCTGACTTCTATGGCCCTCGCTTGAGAGACCCTCGCGAAGGGTGGATTTTTTCTTGAGCATTTCAAACAAATCCTGATAAATGCATTCCCAACCATGCTTACTTGCTATGAACCCCCACCTAAAATCATGCACCAAAGGGTGCCCCATTCAAATTCACCCCCAACTGTCTAATTTCCACATGCTTCTTCGATTGCCCTGTCTAGCGGGGCCTTCCACTGAGGAAGGGGCAATGCTGCCCGACCAGCACAACTTGAACCAATCAGAACTGCGGGCAATGGCTCATGGGCTTGACAACGCAAGTTCGGCGCAAGCGGCGAAAAACCCAACAATGCAATGGACCCCCTTCCCCCCCCCGCCCCCGTTGGTGGTTTGGTTCCCGGTGAAAAATCGGGGCGGACAATTCAATACGCCCTGACACCGAAAAGTTGCACCCATTCCGCAACGACAGGGTGTTTGGCCGACCTTTTTTTGGCGAAACCACTCGAGAACCCTTGGAGAAATCCATGTGACCAAATGGCCGCACCAGATTCACAGAAAGCCTCTGCTTTCAACCCTGAAGGTTAGAGACTTCTCCAGGCAGTTTCCTGTAGGGCTTCCATATTATCAAATATCAGTCGTGATTAGCCCCTTTGTATGGGTTTGTGTCAAAACAGGGGAACCCTTTTTTGCCCTCAGGGGATGTTCTTTCTTTTTTTTTTTTAATACATGTATACATATTTATCTATTTATTGTTTTTTTTTTTTGGGGGTAGGAACACAGAATTGGCGTTCTCCTGGCTTCTGCTCAAAGCTGCTCTCCCAAAAAAGACCGACCCACGCGCTGCGGGCGGGGCGGGGCCACAGCGGAAGGTGGCCTCAGCGCGATTTGCCGCCCGGCGAGTTTGAACCCCTGCGCTTCAAGGATACATTATAAACATATATGATACCCCACCCTAGTTTTGGTGGCATCCCCAAAAGGCAGTAAAACCAGGGTCCATTGAGGGGGGCGGGTTGCATATATATATATATATCTATACATACATATGTGTATGTGTATAAGTACAGCTGCACACATATGTGTATGTGTGTGTATGTCCACATATACAAAACATGTTTCTATATACATATACCAACATGTGTGGATGTGTCCTTCCTTCCGTCCTTTAGTCCTTCCGTCCTTCCTTGCTGAAGAACTCCTTTGCGGCCTGGCCCACTGGCAGCTAACCCAGTGATTCTAGCTACTTCACAACCCTTGGCATGGTAGCAAACACATTGTGTTTTTGCAGCGCCCTACCAAAAATGAGCAGAACCAAAACAACTAAGAAAACCAAACAACTCGCCAAGAACAGTATAGTAGGTAATCAAGCCAAAAGGTAAGCAGCCAAAAGGTAAGCTTCATGTAAATGTGAAACCTGGTAACTGGAAGCACTGGGTAATACCAAGGGCAGCAGCGAATTTTCCCCCGAGAAGGATCGCAAGGAGGAGCCTGGCCTCCTTTGCTACCGCCTTTCTGCACAAAAACCTGGTGCCGCCATGACCTTCCACCTGCCACGTGCCGCATGCCACGTGACCCTGGCCTAGCTTGGCCTGATCTCTTGGAGCGCTGCGGCTTGCAGGGCGCTGGCCGTGCTTGTGACCTAGCACCGAAAGTGCGGCACCTCAATATGACATCTTCTCACCAATTGCCAGGCGTTTCGCGGCCACCTGCTCGAATCTGCGCAACTCAAATCCCGCTCGAACGGGTCTTCTCTCCAACGTGAACAACTAACCGCTCGCCTCCATGCCTGCACCGGGACCTGCCGAGGGCGGAAGATGCTGCAGCCACAAAGCTTTGGCCAACTGAAATATATCCCCAGACCGAGGCTGCACATGCCGAAAGCAAACCCCGGAAAACGACCCGTCTCCGAGTGGCAAACCCAGGCAAACGTTGCTGGCAAGCAGCCACGAGTTGCCGCGATTTTCAAGCTGGCCTGGGGGGTGAAAGGGTGGCGCTCCACCTGGCCCGTGTGTCGTGTGGAACGTGGTTGAAACAGGGCCGGGGAAACTCGGAGGCCAGCCGTGAGTTGCTCAGGGGGTTAGTTGCTCATGGATGTTGGCTCAGGCAGGTCTGCTAGATTTGCCAAAAGATGCACATGCCAACCAACATAGACAATTCCGAGACAGGCTTTGTCACGCTTTCCAATTGCCACCGCGATGGCATACATAAGAACAACACACCCGTCTCCAGCCGCACGCGTGGCTTTTGTTTCTGCGCCTGCAAAAAAAACCACGGAAGGGTTTGCATCGACCGAGCTGGGTTTGAGGTTTCCCTCGGGTTGCGCCATGCTGGATTGCAATCCTCCTTTGGGCCCCGGCCAGACTCTTGAGCAAGCGCACCAAGTCCTTAGCCGCAAGCAATCTCGCTGCTGGATTTTTCCCGCGATGTATCAAAGCAACAAAACTACACCACCATTGAATGAACGCAATACTCGGTTTGAAATTGAATCTTAAATCTTGTATCATCCTTGCGTAGCTGTTGCTTTGAGGGTCTCATTGGGGCTGGGAAGCTGGTCTGGTTTGGGATTTCTGACGTCGTGTATCACCTGTTCTGTGGCATTTTTCCAGGTCTTGTGTCTGGCCATGCTCCACATGACTCTGACATGCCACGATCGAGCCATGCTCCGTGGCCGGCCTCTTCGATGTTTAGATGGGCTGTTGAACATTTTAGATTCCTGCGCGCCAGGCTGTTGAGTTTTAGATTCGGGTGGCCAGATGCCGTCCAACAGTTTGTGGCTATTTGCCGTTTATCGGGGTGCCCTGGCAGTTTCTTCAAAGAGTTGATTGCATTCAGTGGCATGGCTGCCCAATTCCAGCTTGGTCTGTGGCGAGGGGTTGGCTGAACACCAGATTGCATGTTGACACACGGCTGCCATGACAGGGGGGAAGGGTTCCACATAGGTCTGCATGTTGTTGGTCTCGAGAACGTGCATTCATTCTTCACTTCTCCCCCTTGGCCGCTGTCTCAACGCATCTCTCTCTCTCTCTCTCTCTCTCTCTCTCTCATGTCATGGGTTTCTCTTTAGGGGACCCCCAAACAAAAAACTGACATTGTGGTTTTTCTGTTGGATTCCCTTAAGCAACAACCACAACCGGGGTTCCCGAAAAAAAGGACTTACCCCCCTTTTCAGGTTTCTTCACTGGTTTTGGGGTTGGTTCAATAGGCAAACCAAGCGGAAAAACACAATGTTGGGGGGTCCCCTAAAACAGGACACAGCCACATGGCTACAGACATAGGTGTCCTTTTGGGCAAATAGATGGCCACGGTAAATGGCATGAATCCATCTCATCAAACCATCTATCAAGAAGAGTAACTTAAGGACACCTACCGCGGATGTGCGGAATCCTGCACCACTTTGAAACCATGGTTAAAACCATAACGTCCGCCAGTATTTACGTTGGGGAAGCAAAGCATTCCAGGGTTTCTGAACGGTGCCTAAGAGGATTTCGCAGCCACCCGCAGCTCCACCCAAAATTCTGGCTTTCCTCCTGAAAAACACCCACCCAACAACTGAGAATTCTGTTTTCCCACTGGGGCTTCCCCCATTAAAACCAAAAAAACGGGGAATTTCAGTCACCCACCTGGCGCCTTAGGCGCGAAGGATCCCACCCATTTCCTTTCTCGGCTCGGCGCCACAAAGCTGGGCCGCTGCCTTTCCTCGCCCACGCACCGCAGCGCCGACCTCGGCGAGGTGCGCGAAGTCAGAGACTTCCCCGGCCAAGTTCGGGGGGGGGGGGGCGCGCGCGCCCGTGTTTTTCTTTCTTCTTCATGTTTCTCCGTTTGTTTCTTTTATTTTTTTGGTTATTACGGGACCCGCCCAACCCATCAGTTTTTAAAAGGTCTTAAAGAGAAATTGGAAAACCACCATTTTAGTGCATGTTTGTGACTTTAAAAGGACACCTACAGGATATAGCCTAAAAAACACATTTTTAGTGGGTCCCCCAAAAACGACATACCCATTTGACAAGGAAGAGCACCTAACATCTGGTCACTAAGCAAGGATAAGCCAGGCATGCGCATTGCTGACTCGACTACGCAAGTCTTGTTGTCGCAAGGAAACGTATGATGAGCCAACCGTCGGTGGGGTGCATTCATCCGGCACCTCGGCCACCACTAGAACAAGCTGCTCCTTGATTTGAGCTCACAAGAAATTGCGAATACCAAAGCAAGACTCCACATGCCGTCACTAGTTATAGCTCACGTCTCAACGCAAAGAGAAGTTGCAAGCTCCCATCTCTCTGGGACATCTCCGTGCGCTGCGCAAGCCCCGTGGGTGTTCGGCGACCCCTCCAAAATCAGGGACACCAAGCTGGTCGGTTGCCAACCACAAGGAAAGCAAGCATTCGTGGGATCCCTTATTTCATGACACCGTGTGTTGCGACAGCCGCATGGGCTTTTCTGAGCGTTTGCAAAGCCCCGGCCCATTCTACACGCGACTGGCAGGCACCAGCTTGCTTGGACGTGCAAGGAGACTGACCCATGCCCTGCTTGTCATGGGTTCTGCTTCGCATGAAAAAGCCACAATCGACCCTGAGCCGGACCTTCAAACAACTCTTTGCACCCAACATGTAAGGATCTCCCCATAAGCACGGTGTGACACGATCGTCAGCCGACATATGTCTAAACTGCATCAATGAATCAAAGCTCTCACAAGGCGTCTCTTAAGGCTGTCCGCCTACGTTTGATTGGCCTCGAAAATCGAAGGATGCTTGCCGACACGCAGCTCATGCACTCCATGCCAGTGATGCAACAATGCGTCTAATGAATGCGGCAGCAGCAGGAGAGAAGCTGAAATCAGGGGGCCATGTATGGCAAGTTCCACTGTGCTACGTGCAAAGGGTCCATCATCCCCAAACAGACATGGTTCGTCTGCAATGGGCATGCATTGACAGACAGCCATCATGATAGGCCCAGCGTTACGAGCAGGATGCAATCCTGATGTGCTGTGTTTGGCAACCGTTGCCGCCCTTGATTCAAGCCAGAACGTGCCTGGGCACAACATCTTGCACATTCCGCATGTGATCAGTGTGCACAAACAAGTCAATGAGGAGAGGAAAGTGCCAGGCTTGCAGAATGATGCTGTCTGACTGCCGGGGGAAGGGGGGGATACCGTCTTAGATCACCAGAACACGAGAGGCTCTTGGCAAAGCCAACGGGCAGCATGCGAGGCCATGACCATAGGCCGCGACCGCAGTCTGATTTGCGTACAGAGATTACGGGCATGAAAGTTGGAAGAGCTGCTCGACATTTACCGCATCTGCAGCTTCTCAAGAACACACAACTCTTGGGCTTTGGCCGAGGCCATAAACTCAGTGGGAAGCAGCAGGACATAGAAGACTTACACATGAACACAACAAGCAGTGCTTTGATCAGAAACAACACCAGCTTGCCTCCTGGTCTTTAGTCCCGTCGGACCAGCCCTTCCAGCCATCAAATCGACGCCTCGGGAGGCTCAGCTCGTGAGGCGCATGCGCAAGCTCTCCAAGGTGCGCTTGGCAGAGTCCTTGGATGGGACATGCGCAGCTGGGATCGTGGTGCCGTGTGTCCTTTTGGGAAAATCGATGGCACTGGCAGATGATGAAACCAGGTCAACTGGGACCATCTTTCTTTCGAGCACCACTTCTTGTGCTGCTTTGTCAAGTGAGCCGTCCCCAGGAGTTCTTCGCTTTCAAGGGCTCGGAAGCCTCATTCGGATGGCCCGGTCATGCGTCAAAGCAGACGTAGCTCCACTTTCCCATCCAAGCCCGAAAGAGAAATCACGAAGACCCTCCTACCTTCCTAAACATCCTTCATGGCCATTTATCGCATTGCTCGAAACTTTGGGCAGCATCCATGGACCCGGGCATCTGAGTAACAAGCGTCATAGCATTTGGGGGGCCCTTCACTTAAGTTCCGCACTCACCGCATAAACGCATTTCCGCGCACTCGCACAGAGTTCAGTTTCAGGAGCACCGAGCCAAGATTCATTCCACAAGATTCGGAAGCCAGGTTTTCACCCACAAGCTCTCCCTGTGGCAACTTTCATTTTTGGGAGGCACCAAAAGCCACCCCATCGCTGCAGAAACCACACCCACAACAAAAAACAGGCTTTCTGCTCCCGCTTGACATCATCCCACCAACAGCCAGGCTCAATTGAAATGGGCCCAAAAGGTGATGTTTGCAGAGTTAGACCTCCAATTGGAAAAGCACCCTCTATTATACCAGTTGCTTTTCGCAATTCAGGACCTTGTGACTGTTTTGGGTCCACAATTGTGCTTTTTTTGGCCGGGAAACATGCCAGGAACAATCCGGGCAAAACACGACTGGCAAGAAAAAGTCAGACAAAAAACGGGCCAAACAAATCCGGGCAACCATTAGGAATTCCTTTTTGAAGTGGTCCCCAAACCAACAATAAAGACAGCTTCTGTACACAAAAGTAAGGGCAAACATTCGCGCAAAGGGGGGTTGCCCGCAACAGGCCCTGATACTGTTTACTGTGACTCTTTTAGGGCCCCCTTTAGAGTCCAACTATTTTGGGGGGTTGCTAAAATTCTCAAATTAAAGCCTTGGCCATTTACATTAACAAGGGTTGTGCCCCAAGCAAGCTCTTCCCAATGTGTTGTAGGGCAAGCATTCGCACAAAGGGGGTTGCCCACAAGAGGCCCTGAGCCTCATGTTTTGGGGTCCTCTTTAGTGTCCAACCTTTTTGGGGGTTGCAAAAAACGGGCCTTGGCAATTACTCAAGTAGACTTGGCAATCCTAGACCCCCAGGAACTTTCCGTAAAGAGGGTCTCGCTGCCTGGTTCCACTCGCCAAGGAAGGGGGTGTAAAGAGGGTCCAACATTAACCATGATGGCGCACAGCTGGCACCTGAGTGATCGGTTAAAGGGAAAGACTAGCTGACTTTGATACCCCCCGAAAAATGCATAAACTGATAATGTAACAAAGACTGAGCGTCCCTCCAGTTGTTGGCTTGGATCCAAGCCACCAACTAAGGGTGGTAAAGGGACCTCAAAAACATGTGGGTGTGTCTTTTTTGGGGACCCCCCCAACATAGTGGTTTTCCGTTCGGTTTCCCTTACGGTTTTCCTTCAACCACCCCCAAAACGGGTGGACCCGAAATTACTGTTGGTTTTCAAGGGAAGCCAAGAGGAATCAAGAGGAACTTCAGGATTTTGAGTGGTTCCTCAAAACATAGACACACCCATACCGTACCCACTGTCCCCCAGACCAAAATAAAACGCTCGCGTCGGCTCTGTTCGAGGCGCCCCCGGCGCAGCCTTTGCTTGCCGCAGCGCCTGCTGCTCCTGGAGACCTGAATGCGGGGGGGGGGTGTCGAATGGGGAACGGGAAATTAGGGCAAAAGTTTAACTTTTTGGGGGTTTATGGAAAACCCCTTTGATTTCCTAAAAAAGCTAAAGTCAAAAGATCCAACCCAATAGCAGTCAAGCAAAAAGGTGAGCCAAACGGAAAACCCGCGGGACACCTACGGGAGAACAATTGTTGATTTTAGGGTTTTCACTTCTCTATTTTTTTGTGGGGGGGGGGGGTGGGAGGGGGGTGTCAACTCACCTCCCCGAAGGAAAAGGTCAACCGGGAACCTTTTCTATGGGATCAACACTAGGCGACCAGCAGGGCAAAAAGGTCGGCTTTGAGGTTCTGCATTCCAACCTTCCGTGGCGGGCCGCCGCCGCAAGGGAAACCACTTTCTAAGGATTGGTTGGTTTGGAACAACTCATCGCCGCTGTCTTCCTGGAAGAAAGGACCCCCCCCCCAAAAAAAAGGACCCCTGATTAATAACCTGCGGGACCATTTCAACTCACCAGCGGTCATTACTCTCTTGAAACAAGCATAGTTTAGCTAGTTGACCCGCACAGGTCCCTAAAAAAATAACAATACCACGACACCAAAATAAACCGAACCCATGGCACCATGCTGACGTGCAGGTACCAGCGCTGCACACCAAGACGGGGCCAAACCAACAGGCCGACGCACCAATCTGAGAGGCAGAGCAAAAGAAGCTCAAACAAAAAACAACTGGCAAACGGATCAATATGATCAATGCAACATCGCAGAACTGCTGCGGCCAAGCTGCATTCTGCTTCCCTGTGCTCCTGCAACTGGAGATGTGCACGTGCACATGGCTGGGATAGAATTAAATCAAACGGCCTCAAGCGTCGATCATGTGGCTGGCATTTTGCGGCGGGCCTGTTTTCCCGTTCCGCCAAAGAACTGCGAGGTTTGTGTCTTAAATGGAGCTCAATCTCACGCCCGACATAGCCGGTGGAAACAATTCTCGCGTTCCCAGCGCCGGATTGAAGTCAATGAGAAGGCCAAGGATGAGAAGCATCCACCACGGCACCCTAGGAACAGACCCTGCGAGTGCCAGGAAAACAAACCTAACTCAGGTTCGGCCAGGCCATAGGAAACGGAGACACCGTCCCGAAACCGCCAGAAACCGCGAAAGGAGAGGAGCAAAGGAGCAGTGTCAACACCTGTCGTGCAAGTGAACAGATTCCGCGCAGGGTAATTATCCGTGAGAACCCTCCTGGGTGTTTTACATATTGACATGATTGATGTGGTGGTTCATTCGACACTTTGCCGGTGACTGCGCTAGTTAACCAGGACCAAAAACACAAAGCATTTGTAGCTACGTATGCGTTGATTGATTCGTTGGTGTTTTCTGGTTTGAGCTGCTCTGCA